TGGGCTTTTATTCTTTCTGTTATTACTTCTCCTAGTATTTCCTGTATTCTTTGTTTATTTTTAGTGAGCTTTTTAATCCTTCTTTTTTCTGCTTTTTCTAAGCAGTTGTTTAAGATGATTAAACCTTTTGCATAAAGATTAGTAAAGGTATCCTGAGCTTCAGAGAATAGGTTAGCATATATGCTTATTCTGAAGGGAAATTCTCTTGATTCAGAAATTTGATGTCCTTCATAATCTATTAAATTAATGAAAGTAGTTAGATTTTCTATATAATCCTTATAGAGTTGGTCTACATGCTCTTTGAGATTTTTAAGATATTAGGAATTAAGCTCTTTGGTTTGTTGTTTTTCAAATTCAGTAAAATCTATTTTAGCTAGATTTTTAGAATATTGAAATTTCAGAGTTTTGACCTTTCTAGCATGCTTGATTCTGTCTTCAGTAATTTCCTTTTCTAATTAATTAACTTCAGTAATTTTACGTTTGATTTTAACGAGATTGTACCAAAAGAATTTAAAAGGTTAACAGCAAATAAAAGATAGTTTAGAGAGAGCATATTGTAAAAAGTTTTTATACATTGAATACAGTTATTAGTTTTTCATTTTTATTATTTCGTTATTGTTATCTGTTCTAGGTTCAGGTTCAGGATTCTTTAGTGAATTATCTATTAATTCTTGATTTATTTGAAGAGATTGATCAAGAATTTGGATATTATTATTAATAATTTCTGTAATATTTGTTGTAGATACTTTAGAGGTACTACTTTCAAAAGTTATTTTTCCTTTTGTTTTAGAGTTAGAGTTTGGTAAAGATTCAGAAAAGATTAGGCTTCATTTTTTAAACTTTTCAAAGTAATCTGCAGGTATTTGTTTTTTAAAGAATTTTTAATAGAAATTATTAAGATTATTAATATGACTAAGTTCTGGTTTATTTGTTGTTATTGTAATTAGTATTTTTTCTATATTGTCAAGAGAATTTTTATGATTAGGTAATGTAGAGAAGTTTATTGGCTTGAAGTTTACTGTTTTAGCTATTTTTTTAGAGTAAAGTGAGTCAATTTGTTCAGTATAGTTATCACTTAATCAATGAATTATTTGATATTTATGCAAAGAAAAACTTTAGTTTTTATTGTGAAAACAATAGTATAACTTTCACTTTTATTAAAGCTTATCAGTTGTTTTAAGATTTGCAAGGTTTATACTTGAGAAAAACTGCTTTGCTTATATAGAAAAAATTACAATATTTTTGATAATAAATAAAAAAGACAAAGCAAAATAGATAAATTATAATTAAAAAATCTAAGTTAATAGGTTGGAATTATAAATCTAACTGGAGTTAGGAGTTTTAATTATAGTCAGAATTTAAGTTTCAGCTAGAATTATAGATATCAAATTTTGGCTAAGTTTTTTAGGGTTTAGGGTTATTCATAT